AAATTAAGAAGCCAATCTTTGCCACATTTAACAGTAGATAGTAGGTCATTTTTGAGATCAGCTGCCATTCTGACCTTATTGAACTGATTGAACATACTACTGAGATAGGAATAAAGGGTTGAGTCATCAGCATAGATACCAAGCTGAGAACTGATGCTGATGCCTCCATACATCCTTCTTAATTTTGAGTCTAGATTCATTTTTTAATCTTTAATAGCACATTATAAGAAAAGTAATGTTGTATTTTTGAAGATGGAAGCAGAAATCATTCATATGAAACAAAAACAAATTCTAAAGCATAATCCTCACCTGAATCTATCTGATACACTTATAAATCTAACATTCTTCTGTGCATTGAATATTGCTGTTCTATTTGGTCTAATGCTCCTGCTATATATCTTGAGATTCTTGATAAAAACCAGGTTTTGTGATGTTATTGGTCTTGATCGAACATCTCAACATCAGTCACTTTTCAACATGGCTTCCCTGTTTCTTTTCTATAAATATTTGCATAGCAGTTGTTCTAATGGGCTCTCCTTCTTAGGACCTCAACTATATGAATTTAAACATACTACTAGATTGGCAACTAGGTTTCATTGATTTACTGATGAATTAGTGAGATGTAACTGTAAGTTCTATTCTTATACTTTATTTTCTTCCATTTCTTGTTGGCAGAAATCTCAATTTCTTGTTTCTTTGCCACCTATGATCTTTAAAAACTTAAATGCAATGTCAATGGCAATCTTTTGTCTTTCTGAACCCTGTTCTTTTATTGTTTTTCTCCTCACTAATGTTTTCTTATTCTCTTTCACTCCCAGTAACCCCTTGTGTCTTAGTGGCATTATTGCCTTGCTTGGGGTGAAATAATTTTAAAAAAATCCTTATTGAAATGTGTCACTGCACTGGGTGCATTTTAATGTAGTCAGTGCATTGATGACACAGCATTGTTGGGTGGAGGTCTTCTAAGACTGAAAAAATCAGTGGTCAGGGTAGAAAGTTCTTCAAATGAAATCAATGGCAATGAGATTGTGATTATAGCAAGACTTCATGTTAGAGGACATTGACTGGGATTTAATCTGAAGAGAGACCAATTCTGCTAGGTCTACTTTGTCCAAGACACATCATACATGAATGAATAACTCACAAGCTTTCATCATGGATATGTAGAGGGAACAAATCAGATGCTCAGCTGTGCAGAAACCCTATGAACATGTCTGGTCATGGGACTATTGATGATGGTTGCTATCTTAATTAACATCACTGTTATACTAATTCTTTTATTTCTTTTCCCCCCAGATTTTTGCCTTTGTACTCTTCTTCGTGTGAACTTTGAACCAAACACATTATTTAGTTCACAAGGGTCAGCTGTTCTGATTCAGGCCTCCATATCAGTTTCCATATGATTTTCACCACCTGACCCAGGAATGGAACTCATGTATAATAATAATGATAAATCCTGATCTTAGAAATTTCAAACATATTAGACTTGTTTTAAGATTGATATTGATATGAAGAAATTTTGAGATTCAAGGATAAGATGAGGATGAGATAAAAAGGAACATAGATAGATTGATAGATAGGAACTTATATATATATATATATAGAGAGAGAGAGAGATACACATATATATATATATATATATATATATATATATATATATGTGTGTGTGTGTGAGATAATGATATATTTTTTATACATCATGAACAGTATATATATATATATATATCTCTCTCTCTATATATATATATATATATATATATATATATATATATATATAGAGAGAGAGAGATAGAGACACACACACACACACACACACACACACACACATATATATATATATATATATATATATATATATATATATATATATATATGAGATAATGATATATTTTTTATACATCAAGAACTGTATTGGTTAAATTGTATGACAAAGTGGAAAAAGATTACTTGTGATTTAAAAGTAAAATAAAATTCAACCTTGATAATGACTAAAAGTATTAGTGAAAGTGCTTGGATATATGAATCATTTTGAGAATTTATGTCCTGTAAATAAAAAAATTATAACACATGAACAATTATATAAAAAAAACTTAATCACTGTACTTTGTGAGTCATTTTTAGTGAAACTTGCATAAATGAGGGATTGCAGCCCAAATACACCATGATATGTATATATGTATATATATATATATATATATATATATATATATATATATATATATATATATTTTTTTTATTTTAGGATATTAAAACATGTTATAAAAATCACTACACAATTATTACAATTATGTTAAAATATGTAAATGTGTCTCTTCAGGTGATGTTAAACTATTACTTACCAGTATTTTAACATTGCCTGAAGAGACACATTTATGGTGCTGAAACATATTCGTAATTGTGTAGCGATTTTTTGTAACATGTTTTAATATCCTAAAATAAATAATATTTACCTCCACTATGTATTGATCTCTCTTTTAAATTAAATTTAACATACAGTGGA